CTGGGCCCTTAGTGCCTCCCCCACTAGTCTCCTAAGCTCATTGAAGTTGGCCCTTCTGAAGTCAAGGGCTTTAGCCTTGGTGTGAGCCCTGGACACCCTGCGTTGGATAGTGAAATCCAGCATGTGATGATCGCTATTGCCCAGGTGGTCAAGGACCTGCAGTCCCCTCACCAGGTCATCCCCCCATGGCCAGGACCAGGTCCAGCAAGGCGTTACCCCTAGTGGGGCTGTGCACCTTCTGGATAAGGTGAAGGTCCTGTAATACAGCCAGGAACCTACGTGAGCGGTCAGACCTGGCTGTCTGCTCCTCCCAGCAAATGTCTGGGTAGTTTAGGTCACCCATGACAATAACATCCCTTGACCTAACCGCCTCCATAAGCTGACTGGAGAAGTCCTGGTCTAGCTCTTTATTGCCTTAGTCTTACCAAATACCACCAATTCCTTCCGGATGCCTTGGTTTAATCTGTTTCCCAACAGCCTGCATTGCTCCCATTCTCCCTAAAATACCCTTTCTACCTGCCATAAGTTCTCCCAGTGCCTGGCAACAACTTTAATTACCTCAGGCTTTCCCATTCTGCTAACAACCTTCTCATCTCTCAGTCCCAGTCTATCCTAACCCTCCTTGCAACATCCAGCCAACTGTCTCAGGCTCTCCCATCCCACAATACGTGGCCACCTGTCTCAGCTCTCCCACTCTTCCATATCCTCCATTTTCTTTCAAGGCTTCCTAACTCACTTATTCCCAGGCTCCTGGTGTCTGTACGCCGTCCCCACGTATCGCATGAACAATGATTTCTGCTTTCCCACCCTACTTGGCCCTCAGCCTGGGGCACCCTGAGCATAGTCACTGACTGTTACAAATAGCAAATGGAGCTACACCCATGGGAATCAACAGCAGTTGACTGTAGTTGGAGTGAAGGGCCAGGAGCTTATGCAGTGACTGAGTACTAGTCACAAGTCAAAGTAGTACAAGTGAGTGCATTCACCCTTTAATAACTTACTGCACAGCTTCTCCTTCCATGCTTCCAAAAGCCATCCTGACCTTTGAGCAGGATTCCAGAAGCAGCTCAGGTTCTGTAGAGCCTGGGGCCATGTGGCTGTTTTAGGAGTTGTATACATGCCCTGACTTCTGTACAGATGGCACAAGACCCAAGCCTTTGTGGGCCATGGTTTCTGTCCCTTCTTGGGAGGGGAAGCCTCAGACATAACTGACTGCATATCTCCAGTATCACAATAATAGAGTAATCCACATAACGTAGCTCCAGGACTTGGAAGAATATGCCATATCATAGCGTCAGGGGGTACTTGAGCAAATGTATGGGTGGGTTAAGTCAATGGAAGCAGAGGAAGTTGCATGTAAATCTACCCAAAGTGAGATGCCATGGATTTTTCCATGTGCTTTTGACTGGCAATATCTGAAATTGGGTTGGGAAATGCTGATGTTAAAAAGTAATTACTGAATTGTAATTTCACTTTTTAAGAACATTGACTTTCATCTGTGCAGGACACCTTCATATCTGTAACTAACTCGGCATTTAAAGAAAGACATTCGGTAGAATATCCCCAAGAGGCTGGACATATTTTAAATATATTCTTGAATGTTATGCTTATTGTCCTACTCTTTAAATTTCTGTAATCAGTGAAACCTGTCTAGAATTAAGTAAGTATATTACTGAATACAGAGTATAACTTATCATCCATTTGGATCCTGTTTGTAATCAGTTGCTGTAAACTGTAGATGGCAATGTACAATGTTCAAAGTCTGACCTCCAAAAGAAAATTAGTCAAAATATCAAATTGAAATTCAAAGGAAAATTTAACATTTGAGAGAACAGCCTCAATCAGCTGTCCTTATTACTATACTTTATGAGAAAAAGATATGAGTGGGGAATTTAACCCTTTGGAGACTGAGGAAATCCAGAATGTGCCTTAAGAAATGGTAATGTTCTATATGTCAAAGAATTTTTGCTTCCAGAAATGAAAACCAAACAACAACAAAAAATGCTTGTTGTCTTTTGGTCTCCAACCTTTCTGCTCTTGTTGTTCTTCACCCAGCCAATCTAGGGATATCACTGAAGTGACCAACTTGTTGATTTGGAGCAATGTTGTAACTTTTTGACCATTCAACATTTTTCTTTTCTGTGCTGTCTTTACTCTCCCTTTACAAACTGTTATCCATCTTTTATGCCATTTATTTTGGAATCATCTGAAAATGTTTTGACTAGTAAGATATCCCAATAAGATCTTTGATACTAGAGTATCTAGTATATGGCTGTTTGTATCTGTAGTGCTTATTTTTGAGGGGATAAAAAGAATATATTAAGGATTGCTATAAAGCTTTGATAAAAATCCAAGATCCCTTGCAAATACCAAACTAGATCTCAAGGTTATAGAGAGGGAAATTTGCTGTAATGCAGACAGTAAGCACAAGGCTCATATATCACTTAAATGTAACTTATGCACTATTTTGAGGGCATAAGTGAGATGTAAGTGGCATACTTGCCTTGTATTGGCTTCCTGCACAGAAATACATTTCACCCTAATATGGCTTTATGGTGTATGTATAGATTTAGCAAGGTATAAATACTGCACATTTTATAATAGAAAACAAAATATTTGAAAAAAAATCCGCTTTGCTTTGTGTTACTTTCCACAATATATGAGTAGGTATTTGTGTTACCTTTGCAAAAGTCAATGACTATATCACAGATATCACCGGTACTGAGTCTGATTCACTTACCTGGTTTCACCGTGGTGAATACAAGCAATCTCTTCATTTTTAATTCTGTACCTCATGGGATATGTTAATCAATGACTGTATGCATGTTCTTTATATAAAGGCACTTGTTTAAACTTTTTAACTGCACAGCTCAGCAAATTCTGTCAGGCTGAAAAACCATATTGTTTTTACTCTGATGAAAAATATGCACATGTTTTGTTTCAGTGATTTTTTTTTTTTTTACTAGTGTTCATTTGAATAAAGCATAGAATGCCTTCATTTGTGATGGTCCTGAGAGGGAAGTTTCTGTCTGTTGAAGCCAGTACTGAGAACAGAGAAAACTCTTCCATTTTCTGAATTAAACCTTTTTCACCTGTGCCAGTCACAGCTGGACCCTGGGCTGGATTATTTTTCTTTCTTTATAAACACTGCCTTATGGAATAATAGATTTAAGAGCTGCCCATTAATTTGGATAGAAATAGGCTGTTCAGACTCCTTGTGCATCTTTATAAATCCCAGCCATAATATCTGGCAGTGTACATGAATATTCATTTGGATAAAGGTTCCAGTCCTGCTAGCAGTTACCAATAGAAGTTTTGTCTAAAGTAAGTACCCTCTGTCTGCACTCTTAATATGCTTTCTGAATTACCTATTTATTTTACAAGTATGGATCATGAATGGGTGGAAAATAAAAACAATTAATGGACTTTGAAGTGGGTAAATTCAGTGCATGATGCATGCTTTCTAAGACTCAGGCCATAAGCATAGCTGAAAGCTGCCAGATTCAGAGCCTGGTTAATATTGGCTCCAAAGTTGACTGCTGTATCTTTGCTTATCTATGGCTGACATTTATAACTTTGCACAGTGCAGTTCCATTAAACTATATTTATTATAGTGAGAGCAATTACTTAGAAAGTCCAGTCCTAAAAGTTACCAAGTGCCCCTAACACGAGGTTGCTGAGTTCTTGTCAGATGCTCAGTATCCTATGGGACCAGGCTGATAAAAGCAACTCCTGCTTAGAGTTGTGCAATTTTTAAATTAAAGTTAGAATGTTATGAAAGAATGATCTCTACATAGAAGAAAATGAGCCTTCAGAAATGTGTTTGAAAATGTAGTCCAAAGGGCTTTTATATGTACTCCGGAAATGTCTCTATCGTCTGAATTTTAATGGTCTCAGTTCCACAGCCTGTCTGCATATAAACTGTCTGTCACCTGCCACGAGGAACTTCTGTGTTGCACATACCCAGCAGATGCAAAATAGAGCCATGACTCCTGCAAACAACATGCAGTATGTTTTTCTAGTGTAACATGAAATCGAAGGGTGATGAAATTACTTCACTTACTATGAAAATATTTCCATGATTGTGACTTCACTGTCATAGTCACAGGGCTTACTGTGCCCTGTGAAATTGGTATGGAGATTAAAAGAGAATATAGTCAATCACTTTAAAACTTCCATTCATTTAACAAATGTGCTTTTTATGTGTGATCTTAAGATGTTTTTTGGAACTAAAACCAGTCTTAGTTTTACACACTGTACTATCCAGTTCAGTCCCTGCAATGTTCTGATCATCCAAATCTTTCTTGGAAAGATGTAATCAGATCACAATGAGAGGTTGGAAATAATCACATTACGAAGAGTTGTTTTAAGCAAACCAGCTGCTGATATGTATTTGTAGGGCTTCCCGAGCATAACTGTGTTAAAAAAATCTTGTACAGCAAAGTGTGTATTGGGTTTAAATACTGTATAGCAGTTCTGTAGTTCTGGCTTGGTGTTGAATGCTGAATTAGAAATCCTATAATCCAAACAGAGGCATTTTGGGATTTCTCTGTATGCTTGCTAAAAAGCTCTATTTTAAATAATTATATTATAATTATGTAATTTAAAGGACTGTTCTGGGTCTTTTTACACAGCAGTGCTGCTGCTTGTTGCAGAAACCTTTTTAAGAGGGAAGGCATGTTATTTTCATGACATCAGTCCAATGGTCTGGATTAGAAAGCAGAGTGTTTTATAGTCGGCATTCCAAAGAATTACAGCTGAAAGGAACTGAACAGAGCAATTTTAACATTGACTGTAGGGTACTATGGAGAAGGATGAGGTTGCCCTATCTGGCTTAATTTATATGTGAATGTACATGTCAAAAAATCAAAATACCTTCTCTGTTTTACCATGTGGGTTATTGAAAGGAAAAATAATTTGGTAAAAAAGGCTCAGGTGAGACATAGGATTTAACTGGATGCTGCTGTAAAGTCTAATAATATATATTTTTTCTTTTGCAGGCCTATACAATTCAGGGACAATATGCTATTCCACACCCGGATGTGAGTTTTACCCTAATTTTTCTTATATCCATTCTACTCTTCTATGTCACCTGCATGCTTCTGTTAATTACTACTAATATTAATATTACACAATAATATTAATACTGTATTCTCAAAGTAACTGACCATGTGTAGTATCTGTAATACCTTGAATAGCCTTTAACCTATTAGCACTAAACTTTATTAATATTGAGGACTTGGCCTGATGCTAAATTACTGCATTGTTCAGTGCTATCCCTTTACTAAGATATACATCCTATATGCATTTTGTGCCTTAGAGAATGGTCAAAATAGTTTTTCACCTCTACTTCCTCATCTTCATTAAATGTTGATAATCAAATGCATACAATGACTTATCTAGGCGCTCATGTGAAAGGGCAGATGTATTTGAAAACTTAGGGTATTATGGCTGTCTCAAAAACTTTGCTTTCAGAGCTGTGCCTTCCCATAAGTTTGTCATTAAATATGTTCTCAGTCTTACTAGAAAGGAAGTCTGTATGACAATGCTGAATTCTTCCCATTGTTCAAAACAAAATAGTTCAATAACTTAAGCACAGACTATAAAATGCTAAGTTTGGTGAATGGGAACAAACATCCCAAACATTTTATTTGGCATAACACAGAGATGAGACCCCAAAAGTTGCCTAGCAATGAGTCGGTCAGCAAAGCTTTCTGTTGTGCATGATTTATCTGTAGGAAAGGATATAGGTAATTATAGCTAATTCTTGCTACTTTCTGGCTGTTCTGGTGATCTCAGTATTTGGTGGGGAGCAGGAGTGAAGAAAAGGAGAAGAAAGGACTGCTGTTTCTTAGTTAAATTATTTTTTTTCTTGATGTCTACTTCTAGTGATATAAACCTGGGTACAGGTGGCAAAGGGCACATCCCCTTTGCAACCTTCACCAGTATGCCTCATTGGCAGTTTCTTTAGTGTTTTACCCCAAAGAAAATTAGGATCAGTACATGAAATCCCATGTATAGGTACAACCTCCACAAATAAACCAGTCCACAGCCTCAGGGAATTGCCTGGCCTACCTGTTTGCTTCAATTTCTTAGGGATGTGAATGAAGAAGCATGAGAAACCCACTTCTCGTGGTAGTATCAGTCTGCACTATACTACAATGAATTAGGTTAAGTACGTTACCACTTCTTCAAAAATTGAGGGTGTGTGCTTGCAGTTCCCAAGACTCCTAGCTGAATTTGAAGGCCGAAGCTGGTGAGACAGGTGCTTTGAACTTCAGATCTGTATTTCTATGAGTTGTATCTTAAAGTGTGTTGTATAGGAAGCCAGACTTAGGCTCTGAGATATCTCTGGTATGAGAGAATTTCATAAAGAACAACCTGTGAAAGGAAGAGTCCCTGTCTTCCATGGACTTCATGATTGGCAGAAGCATGTGAAACACCTAGTTAACTAAGACCCAAGAGAGGTCATCTCTGAGATAACAGTGATCTAAACCACTGAGGATTTTGTAATTATAATCAACATCTAGAATTTCACCTGGAAGTGAATTGCCAATTAATGCAGTGGACAGAGCGCAAGTGTAATAGTCTTTTCTCTTTATTCTGGCCTAGCCAGTGATCAATAGCATCATCTTATAGTAGCTGAAGTTTGCTGAAGGTTGCCTTTCTTGGTACAGCAGGCTATAGTTTATTGTTGAGGTAAGAAAGATGGATGAAACTGTTCAAGTGAAAAGAAGCAGCCTCTTTGCCATCCTGAAGTGAAAGGAAGCACTTCTGCTATACTGTTCTCTGAGAGTCCATGAGCAGGAAGGAATCTAGTGAGATCTCAGGCTTGAGGCCCACTGTTACCATTGGCATCCCAATTTTGATGGATTATTTAAACTAGCTAGCTTTCCTCCATGGCCCAAACTTCTGTTGAGAAAGCCAGGAAATTATCTAATGTAGATTCAAAGAAGAGGAGATGCAGACCTGTGTGTCCTCAGTCTCTTGGTTATGTGTTGGTTCATAGCTCCTCGTGACATTCTCTGGTGGCTTTACATGGACATTAAACAAGGGGAAAGATGGAATTGACCCTCATGGGATGCCATGGCTAACCCCATTGATAAGAAGAAGCAGTTACCCAAAACAGCCCTTTGAATTCTATCTTAAATTGAATGGAACCACTTTAACCACTTTGTCCAGTCCTTCCAAGACAAATTGGCAGCCCTTTGTAGTCAGTAGCATCGAAATCATTAACAGGATCTAGGCATACTAGCACAAATAACTGATTTCTGTTCTTATCCTGAGGAGGCTGCTCACTACCACAACCTTTTCAGAAGAGAAGTGTGTCAGACTTTTGATGATTGTCATGGGTTTTACAATTGAAAGATGAGCCAGGTAATAGTATGTTTGAGAGCTGGGCAAATAGGTACTCTTTGAGAGCCACATGCGAGTTCTTTGCCCCTAAAGACACAGGCATTCACCACTGGATTCCATTAGTCAGAGAAAACGGGACTGGGCTGGCAATGCATGAAGATACATTTACTAGTTCTCACTTTGTAGTTCCAGAGAATATCCTTCATACCTAACCAGTGTTGTTTGGGAAGCAAATTGATTGCTCTCTGCAGTGAGAAACAGTCCATTTTGTAGGCTAGCAAAGGCAGTTTGATTTATTCCCAAAGCTCACTATCTAGGAGCATTCCAATGGTCAGGGCATGGCAGATGCTGAAGCAGAGGACAGGAACAACTGCACAAACTTAATGGTGTTTTATGAAACATTTAGTTTGTTGCGAATCAGAGCAGCAGCCAGCAGCTGCCTGACTTACACCGGAGTGTTTAGATTTAGAGCTCGGCAGGCGGGTAGTGATGGATGGAGTGGAATTAACCAGGCACAGACACATGTAGGTTACAGGAGTTTGTTTACTTACGTCGCCTAGATAGTGGTGGACGACGCAGGCGAGCCTTTGTTCCGTTACAGCTTCGGTTATAGAGTTGAATATACACATATAACTTCGGTTACAGAGTCGAGTACACGCACGCAGTTAGGTTACAACGAGATAACGACGGACGTGGCGCCGGGAACGTACGGTCGCGCTTGCAAGACTTTCTTCGTCAATATTTTACGCTGACGGGGCGATTGATTGGGAATTGATCAATTTCCCAATTCTCTGGTGACAAGCACAGGTGTTTCCTGTGAGATCCCCAGAGCTCTCCGCCTTGGGCGGAAACTGTTAAACTATTTATAGGCAGAGGTGTTTTACAGGAATATCCAATGGTGAACCGTTATATGGAATCTTTAATTTTTGGCAGGTGGCAGCTCTTTGTCTCCTCAAGTTATAAGGTAGTGGGTTAGGTTTCTCTACCTGTTACGTGTGTGCTACGTGTGAGGAGCTTACGTTTATCTTTGGACCAATTATATATAGTTTCCCCTAGCATTTTATTTCAGCTGACCAATTATCTGCAGTACACCACCAGCGTTTTGTTTCAAGGAATTTCTTGGCAGGGATGTCTTTTAACCCTTAATATTCAAAATGAGGATGATTTGAATGGTATCTCTTGCTCAGTGGCATGGGCACAATTTAATTGGGTTGTGACATATTTATGTTTAGAATCTCTGGAAAATGTCACAATTTTCTTTTCTTTTTTTTTTTTTTAAAGAAAAAGGCACTTGAAAATCCAGTTTTTTTGTTGGAGGTGGGGGGCAGGTAATTAAAAAAATGAATGTTTGTGTTTTTTCATCCTTCCCACTTCCTCTCCAGTTCTTTGTTTTCCCTCTTATTTCACTGGAGAAAATTGTGGAGTACACAGGAAATGGAAAAAGCTAAAAATGAAATAGTTTCAGAGACTGAAATTTCTTTCTTTTTTGTAGAAAATTTAGAAAAAATGTGAAAGATTACAGAAATTACCCACCAGGTTTTTAATTTTAAGTAAATCTTACTTTTTGTCAAACATATAAATCAAATAATATTTTGAACTCACTTTTGTAGCTACAGATCTAGATATAGATATGGAAAAATATATAGCTATAATATTTCACTTCCTTATCTATGCTCTGTTTGCTAGTCTGAAAGTTTTAGGACCAAAGAGGCTACATTGATTTCAGAGAGCTGCTTCTCTGAGCTGGTCTATGCCAATATTAGGATTGGGGAAAGACCTTGTTCTCTTAAAGTGATGATTAAGCCATAATACAGGCACATTCATTTTACCTATGCCTGCCAAACTGTTGTTGTCAGGGACTTGATCCAGTGAGTATGTATTGCATATACAAGGTCAGAAATGTCTGGGATAAATCTCTGAGAGTCATGAATGACTGATCCTAATGAGATAATGGTTATATCATACTTACGTTACAATCCATCTGCAGGTGTATTGAGAGGGCCGCATCATCTTATGCTGTGCTTTTGTCGGATTTCATAACCTCCAAAGGTTGGCCATGATGGGTGCTTGGCTGTAAAACTTCCAGATAAAAGTGATGCCCTTTGGAGCTATAGCAAATAATATGGTGACTCAGGATATGAAACTCTCCCTCATGAGGTAGTACCAAGGTAGTGCTTCATTACAGTGCTGGGGACCAGGATTGTTTTTTCTATAGACTGCAATAATTTTTGCGCAGTGCTTTGACGATTGCAAAAATATTGGGTAGATGACTGGTAGAATGGAGCTGTTCTGTTATTTATTTGCCTGATTCTCCTAATACCCCTGTTTAAACACTAAACAAATATAGGCCAAATATAGTACTTGGTTGAGAGAGGAAGGGAATATGGAGATTTGTATCTTTTGGGGGCAGCTACATGTGCTATCAATTTGACTGAATAAGCTCTGGCACAGTTTGCGCCAGAATTTATTGTTTCTGGATGTCACATTTACATGCGTGTCCAGGACTGCAGCATGTTGAGCTAGATTGGAGCAGCCCTGGCTGACAGGAAGCTCAGGGAGTTCAGCCTGCCAGCCTGGGGCTGCTCTGACCTGGCTCAATGTGCTGTGGAGGGGGTGGCTGGGGCAAGGGTGCTTCAGTGCACTCTCATGCCCCATCCAGCCCTGTCAGCATTGACATGTGCATTGG